CGCCCTCCTCCTCCTCCTTCTGTCCTGTGGTCCAGAGTGCTTTCTAGAGACAGCCTGGTCTGTGCGCTGCGTCACATTAAATGCAGAAGCAGCTATCCCGGAAAGACATGGAAGACAATGCCTTCTCACCACATTCTGTTTGGCGTTGGAAACTGTGTTGTTATTAGTGCTCTGGCTCATGACAACCCCATGTATAATGTCTGGTCCTATGCCATGTTCTTAACACTTTCATGTTAACATGTTTCTATTGATATTTTAAAAGTTAATTTAAAAGTCTCCGTTTTAATTTCTGAGACGTAAATACCTTCTACATATCTTTGTGCTGCATTTATCTAACATGTAAACGGATTCCACAGGAAGGAAGGCCCTTTGGGAGTTTCACTAACTTTGAAAGAAGTTCTCTTGGGGCAACAGTGAAGCAGGCTGCTGCCAGTCGATATGTTTGCAGTTCAAACCCACCTCCTAGCTCTGCAGCTTCACAAAGGTCACCACCAAGACAGCTCTTGGAGGCCATTCTGTCTATCCCATGGAGTTGCTATGAGCACGAATCAGCTCTGCAGCCCCGACAAGGACAGCGATTCTTCACAAGGAAAACCAGTCCTGAGACGCAAAAGTGTGAGCATTGTTGAGCGGAAGGGTGGTCAGAGGGTGACGAGCAAAAGGATGATAAAGCTCCTTCCAAGGAGAGCGAGCGTTTGCGTTGGGCAGTGTGGGCAGCTCTGAAAATTGGTGTCTTAGGCTGGCTTCTCTGGAGAAGTAGAGCAAGGAAGTTTCTACATGTATATATAGAAAGAAATTTGTTTCAAGTAAATGGCTCTCATCGTTGTAGAATCAGGCAAGTCCAAGTCCGGGAAGGGTCCAAGTCCCTGTGGGTAAGTAAGGTGCTAGGCTGGAGGTTTCTTCTGACTGACTCATGTAGTTCTGTGGATTGGGAGCCGATGAAGCCAAGATTGGCAGGAAGCAGACAAGCTGGTAACTTCAGAGGCACATGAATCCCAGGTCAACAGGTCAGGCTTGTGGCTGCAGAAGTGAATGAATCCAAGTTGGGTGTTGGACAGCAGCCAACGATTGACTCCTAGGATTGGCAGCAATATAGCAGGCTGTTGGCTCACATCCCAAACCAGTGATCAGCAAGCCAGATGCAGAATCCAGATGCAACACAAAGCAAAGCAGACTTCTCCACAGCACCCACTTATATCAAAAGCAGGCCACACCCCCAAGGAAACATCATCAGGGCTGTTACCTGAGGAAGGGTGCTGTATCGCACCCTGTGTTAGTCTAGGTACATTAGAGAAACAAATCCACAGAAATTCATATGTATAAGAGAGATTTGTCTAAAGAGTAAGTGCACATCAAGAAAACATCCCACCCCACTGCTACCCAAACCCCAAGTCCAACATTAGCCCATATGTCCAATACCAATCCACAAAGTCCTCCTCCATCTCATAAAACACACACTATGACGCCGACTGCAGGAGGAAAGCTGAGTCAGTGAATGTGTAAGCATCTCAGCGCTGACAGGGGTCTCCACACGG